AGCAATTACCATTAATGGAAGAAAAACTATTTCAAGGTTCGTTTTTCATTCTTTTTCTATACCCTACCTGAGATTATACCTTCTAAACACAAAGTGAAAACAGAACACAAAGACGGAGAGAAATTACAACACATGTCTCTTCTCTGATACGTGGGCTACCAAAGGTGGCTTGACTCAGAAGCAAAAGGTGAACAGTAATGCGTGTATTGCCTGAGGTTTTATACTTTATTTCCTCACCCAGAGAGATCGATGTTCTGTTGCCGAACAGACAAAAGGCATTTATTAGAAGAGTGCACAACACGCAAATGGTTTTTCAATTCAAGTATAGCAGCAAGATAAAGATAGATCATTTGTCAATAATAATAATATTTGGGTTATATAGAGCCTGAAAACAAAGTAAGTATATTCACAATGCCTTTTAAATTAGTCTAATTCTATAGAAGTGTGCACCAAACACTGTACTTTTTACGTTAAATTGCTGTTGAATTTGTTAACCCACGACTGATTTCCTGTGTTGTGGAATCTTAGAGATTACAGTTAACTTGAAGCAACAGGGATAATTCTTGACACTTAATGGTACATTTGGAGGCATTTTCCTGAAAGGCTAGATAGAATCTTGGAGTCTCAAACTGGTAGCTCAACATTGCCCCCTACTGCTTACAATTGAAATAACGGTGAAGGAAGCTGCTGAAAATCCTTTGCTATTTAGTAGATTCCACCTCAGTGACCATCTCAAAGAAAGTCACTGTCCTACCTACAGGACAAGGTAGAACTGCCCCAGTGGGTTTCTGAGACTGTAATCTTCACAAGAGTACAATGCCCTGTCTTTTTTTCCCTCATGGTTTCAAACTCCTGACCTTTAGGCATCTCACTCCAATGCGTAACCATTACGCCACCAGGGCTCCTCACAGCGATCCTATAGGGCTGGGTGAAACTGCTCCATTGGATTTCCAAGGCTGTACTGCTGTACTCTTTCCCTCCCAGAGTGGCTCGTGGGTTCAAACCTCCAACCTTTCAGTTAGCAGCAGAGTGCTTAGCCACTGCACCACCAGGATTGCTTGGTGAGTGTACCAGAGTACTGATTCCATAGTTCCAATGTAAATACCATTGGTGTGGCACTAAGTGGGGGGGGGGGGGGGCCTCCAGCTGTGACCTCTGTAGTGATTACTGTCTGTTCTCCAGAAGCAAAAATAAATTACTATGACTTTGTTAAAAGTCCTTTTTAAAAGGCTTGAAGCAATGCTTAAATTTCAGTTAGAAGTACTATTCCTTTTATCTTGGCCCAAACCTCCACTCTGTTGTTAATGATCATCCTGAGGCTCATGGAGGAGAAAGACACTGGGGCCACTGATTTCACCAAGAACACTTAGTAATGACACCCCAACAGCAAGGAAACACTCTGGAAAATTCCCAAGATCACCACTCTTTTCAGTCTTCTTCACACAGGGAAGGAAAAATAAATAGAAGACATTCCCTCTAACTAACATGCCACTGCTGCCACACAAAAACATACCCATACCTATCCAGTGGATTCAAAATGATCATCACTGGTACATTGACAAAACTGAAGATTTTCCTTAGAAAGTACAAGCAAAACCAACCCTTTAACAAAAGCAATTTTATTTTTTCTTACAAAACCAGTAAGAATTCTTTTTTCCATTTGCTTGTCAGGCTGAACCCACAAAGCTGTCAAATTACACTCCCAAACCCAGCTGACATCCTAGAGCTCAGGAGTGGCAGGCGAAGAAGTTTTCACGTCTCTTGAAATGGACCAAACCAGAATTACCAAGTACAAATAAATAAACTCATGAAACGGAATCTGAAACTCCACAAATAAAAATAAAAACCCACCAAATTCACGGCCATGAGTCGATTACAATTCATAGTGACCCTCTAAGACAAAGTGGAACTGCCTCTTTGGGATTCTGAGGCTGTGAATCTTCAGCGAGCGGTAAGCTTCCTCCTTCTCCTGTGGAACCCATGGTAGGTTCTAACTGACCTGTGGTTAGCAGCCCAGCATGTGACTCACCACTGAGGCTCCTTAAACAGAAAGTGAAGTTGCTTTTATACATATATATTGCACTTTAACTCCAACTGAGCTTTACAATGGTCAGTTTTGCCATTTGGGACTGTATTAGAACTCAAGTTCTAAGCACCACAGTTATAGAAGGCTAGGGATGTCAGTGATTGCCCAAAATCCATTTGCAGAATAATCCGCACATAGACCCAGGCTCCACTGAAGTCCTTTAGGTCACTAACCAAGGATGTAGATAATTCTGTCTCCAGGCAGAGTGCATTGGAGAAAGGACTAACTCAAGAGCTACCCAGTCGGCCCAAGGAGAGGTCGTTTCTCTTAGCAAGACTTGATTGGATATGTCTCTGATGGCGACTACCGTACTCGGGACAGTACTAGGGTTGGAGTCACATAGTCATGTCATGCTTTATCACCTGTGTCCGGCCTGCCTTGGTCAGAAGGTCCTGGACCAATCCTGTAAGCTCTTCTACCTGACAATGTACATGTCCCAATCCTGGTCTTGTTCCAGCTACTGTAGTCCCACCTGTAAGTGTGATGTATTATCCGCTACCAGAATAAATTTGTGACAGTTCCCTTTGCTCCATGCCCATTTAACTAGCATCACAACTGTGAATCATCAGGTGACATTTTGACCTAGTGCTAATGGTCTCTCTTCTCCGGATGATGTATCTTTGTCTTTGGGTTGTCTCTGTCCCTTTTAAAGACTTAATACATGTTTTCCTTACATTATATTTAAGACTGGGGTCTCTTGGATCCTACAGGATTTAGGAGAAACAAATTTTGGTGACACTACACTAAAAGGATTATAATATTCCTTCCCCAGCACCTATGTCCACAAAAAGGCAATGAATGTTTAAAGACTTGAGGAGAGATGCCTGAAAGCAGGGACTTCTGAATTCAGACCCACTTTCCAACGAAAGCCTCCAGGGATTCTCACTTGATGTTTTTATGACAAAGTAGGGATTAGCAATAGCTTTACAGATAAATTCATTGTTTTAGCACATTTCAAATTCTGTTCACTGGTATTACCTCCAGAGTTTAGTAGGCTTTTATCACTTTTCCACTATATTTTAATTCAACTGTTTGGAGACAGAACAAGGAGGTGATGAAGGGCAAAGCTAGAGCCAGTCTTCCGGAGTTCAGACCCTAGCGAGCTTCCTCACCTATGGGCCATATAATTTTGAGGGAGTTACATAACCTTTTGGTGCCTCCGTTTTCCCATTTATAAAATTAGGAAGATAAAACTATCACCTTTAGAGGGTTGTCATAAAAGTCAAATAAGTTCTATAGAAAACACGTAAAATAGTGTTTTAGAACAAGTATGTAATCAAGTAACCTTGCTATTACTGTTCTTGTTGTTAGGTGCTGTGAAGTCCACTTCAATTCCATTTACAAAGAACAGAGCACTCCGAGGTCCTGCGGCATCCTCACAACGGCTGTGTTGGCACCACTGTCGCAGCTACGGTGTCCATCCACCTCATTGTGGGACTTCTTTTTCACTGACCCGCACCCCCACCCCCACCCCAGCCTACTTTACCAAGCATGACGTCCTTTTCCAGGGTCTGGTCTCTCCTGATAACATGTCCAAAGTGTGTGAGCTGAAGTCTCGCTAATCTAGCTGAACTTCTTCCAAAACAGATGGCTTGTTCTTCTGACAGTTCACAGTACTTTCAATATTCTCCCCCCCCACCCCCCACCCCCCGTGCTTGAATTCTTCTCCAGGGCTCCTTGTTCCTCCTCAGCGGGCACATGCATATGAGGCCACTGGAAAGATCTCCACTCGGGCCAGGCGCACCTCAGCCCTCAAAAGGCCATCTTTGCTCTTTCACACTTTAAGGAGGTCTTGTACAGCAGATGTGTGCAATGAAATAGGTCATTTGATTTCTTAGCTGCTGCTTCCATCCAGGCACCTTGATTCTGGATCCAATTAGTAAAATTACTATAATTTAAATTAAGACTTTTGAATTCAAAACCTCCAAGTAACCTTAAAATGCCTTTTGGGTGTATCTAGACTACATTACTTCCTCCAGCCGCATCGGAAAGGTAGCCTGGTGGCACCGTGATTTAAGCACCAGGCTGTTATCTGAAAGGTCGGTAATTTGAGCCCCTGTGTCACTCCACAGGAGAAAGATGCAGTCTGCTTATCTAAAGATTCACAGCCTCAAAACCTCTATGGAGAAGCTCTACATTGGCCTTTCTCTCAATATCTGAGTATATCGCCCAATCTGACCAGTTGACTCAAGGGCAGCACGTGCTCACTTGGGAAGAAACATGTAGGTTGGTGCTGTGGCTGAGCGCTTGGCTAACAGAAGGTCCAAAGTTCAAACCCACCAGCCACTCTGCTTCTGTAAAACGCAGCCTAGGAAACCAGAAGAGGCAATTCCACTGGGCAGTTGTACCCTGTCTTCTGATTGGTGTTTAACTGATCGTGCTACCAAGGGATTTCTGCCTAATGGACCTATTACAAATACAAATGGTTTTAGATAATATCAGTTTTCTCTTCTCAGCACCACTTCCCAGCAGATGTCAAGTACAGTGGCTTCTACATAGTAAATATTCAATAAATGTTCATGAAATTGATCCGAGGTACTGACAAAACCCTGGCCCTTCCCATTGTCTTTCCAAGAACCTCAACTCAATGGTATTGAATATGGTTCGGCAGACTGCGGCCCCCAAGCCATATGTGATTCCTTTGGTCCATACATGTAGTTCTGAGTTAAAATTGAAAAAAACTAGAGGATATTATTCAGATAATAGTGATTTCATTTGTATGTAAAAATATAGTTATGGTTCTCGGATAATTTTTAAATTGTTGTGAGGGACAGAATTGGGTCTTCTGTCTCAAAAATTTGCTAGCCTCTGCTCTAGAATAACGAAATACTCATTCACTTATGCAGATAGAGAAGTTGTAAATCATATAGCATATTATACCAGAAAATATGCTCCCCAGGCCTCATTTACTCACCACCTCTTCCATCTTCTTCCAATGTCCCTCCAGTTCAGTCATGGGCTGATACCACCAATCGGTGCACTGTTTATATCGATTGTTTTGAAACCAAAATTGTCTCAGCCATTCAAACTCAACCTGTGGATCATAAAAAGAAGGCAGGGGTTAGAATGTCCTTTTGATAGCTAAGGACGGACAATGACTTTATCACTCGATTTTCCTCCAGTAACTAAATAGCCACAGGGTGAAGAAAGGTGAGAAAAGCACAGCTTGACAGACTCCCAGTAGAAACGCTGAGTCTCCAGAGCATTTGTGCAAAGCCAGGCAAAGCGGAGCCCTCAGCTGCAGCCCTCTTAGTGAGACAACCAAGCTCTGGCTTGTGAAGTGTTCTCAACCACCTTCATTAATCCGATGTGAGCAAACTAAACACAACCAACAACAACTACTGAGATCCCAAAGTAGACAGCAGCCTGCACATTGTATAATTAAACAGAAGATTTTTTTTAATTGAATGTGTTGTTAAAGACTGGTATTAAAAGCAAAATGCAGGCATATATTTGGAAAGATCTATTTTAAATATCTGAAACCTCAAATAAAAAAAATTATCCATAGACTTTTTTCACCTAGGAAAAAGTGGCGGCTGATCTCAGCAAATCCAACTAATAATGAAGGCGCACATTCAATCCACCAAACTGAAAAAAGAAAGAAACTCAGTTTCAACACATCGCCACCGTATAGGCCTGATCAGATTTGCCCCCGCTGGTTTCTAAGACTGCAACTCTTAAAGAGTGTAGAAAGTCTTGTCTTTCTCCCACAGAGTAGCTGGAGGGTTTGAACTGCTGACCTTGTGCTTTGTCCCTGTGCAACTCAGGGAAAACAACAATAAAGAATAACAAAGATATTAGTAATTTGGTTTCTTTCCTATGAATCTACCTAGTGTAGTAACCATCTATTGGTTGCTTTCTAACGATCACTTCTTTTTTCCAGTAAAAGCACTATTTGCTTGATAACAAACCCTTTCATCCCTTCATCAGTCTGAGTCCAGACAAAGCTCCAAGTGGGAAGCGAAATGTATGACCCAGGTCTAAGCCCCCAAGCTGTTCTGGCCACAGAGGTGGGAAAGGGAGAGAAGGCATATTCTACTAGAAAATGTCTCAAGACGTTTTCAGAAATCACAGGAAGAGAATTCTGCAGCCGTTTTGCCAACACAACGGGAAAAGTTCCAACAAAGGAGAGGTGGCTACACAAGATGAACAAAATACAAGTAGACTTAAAAAGTTCTTAGAAAAGTTGAATTAAAAGTTAAAAATATAAACCTTATTTCTCAACCTATACTACATTCAAGAAATAAAGGTCTTGGGAATTTAATTATATCAATATAGTCTTTACATAATTAATTGAAGAAAATGGGTGATTTTTTTATGATTATGAAACAAAACCAAAAAAAAAGTCAGATGTAGCCAAATCAGAACCTAAAAGTGGATTTCTAATGATTTTCCATTAAAATTTTTGCAAAATTGCCCATGTTTGATGAGAAGAACAAGCAAGAGCATTGCTGTGATGGAAAGGTCTGTCCGGTAAAACTTTCCTAGGTGTTTTTCTGCTGAAGTTTTGGCTTTCTCAAAACATTTTCATTCTTTGGTGGCCTTGGAAGTCAGCAAGCAAATTGCAATGAGCATTTTCCTAACCTCCTCTTTACTTCTGCTTTAAATGAACCACTTCTATCTCTTGGGGGCCACTGCTCTGGGCTTTGTCTTAAGGATTGTACTAATAAAGCCAAATGAGTGGGTACCCAAATAAAACTGGAATTGCTCTGGGCAGAGTGGATAGAGAGCTTTCGTAGTAAGCATTTTCGCAACTTGCTCTGAGTTAGTGCACCCAGTGGTATTGCCTGGGAAGGTTCTCTTTGGTCACAGTGAATTTTCTCATAAAAGGAGTTTCGCTAGAACCTATCTTTTGTGATGGCCAATTTAAGAGACCAGTGTGTGGCTGTGAAATTTTGTTTCCTGCTCAGGAAAAATGCCACAGAAACTGTTGTGATGTTGAACACAGCTTACAAGGACAGCACTACGGGAAAAACTCATGTGTTCAAGTGTTTTTCTCATTTCAAAAATGATGAAATGTTGATTGATGACAAACCATAATGAGGTTTGGACGTCCGTCAATTTCTTGAACAGACAAAAATATCAACTTGTGGTGCATTTGGAGTTCGTTCCACCAGGTCAGACTGATAATCAAGCTTTCTATTTAGAGGTTCTGAAAAAATTATGTAACAATGTGTGACAAAAAGGCCTAATTGTGGCAGATGGGGCACTACTTTTGCCACCACAACAATACCTGCTCACACTGCCATCCAGTGTGCCAGTTTTTGGCAAAAGAACCCCAGCATGTCTCTCTTGCCCCACACAGTTTACTCACTTGACCTGACTCTGTGCGGCTTCTTTTTGTTTCTGTCAATGAAGAGGAACATGAAAGGACAGCAATTAGATGATGTAGAAGAGGTGAAGGAAAAAATGAGGGAGCCATCCAAACTGATGAGTTTGAAAAATGCTTCAAGAGTGGAATTGCAGATTTGACAACTGTACTCAGTGCACTGAGAGTACTTTGAAGGTGATAAGGTTGTTTTGTAAACACGACATTCAATAAAGGAGGAGGAGTCGGGGAAAGGAGCTGTGGGCAAACAGCATCACAGGAGGACATAGAGATCCCAGTGGTGTTGTAACAACAGCAATCTAGCTGAGAGGAATTCCTAAGAGGCAGAAGAAGGGTGATCTTGATGGTGGGGCAGGAGGAAGGTAAAAGGAAACAGAGCAAAGATCTAGGAAACAAGGATTTGGATAGAGGAGATAGGTGTGCACTTATGTAAATATATTAATTCATAAAAACAGATGTATTGGCCTATGTACATATATGTACATGGCATTACACTGAGGACCTGGACAGACTTAGGACCTCTGCTCAAGCTCTCCCTCAATGCAAGAACACTTCATTGAAGACAAAATGGATGCATAAGTAAATACGGTGAAGAATGCGAATGGTGCCTGGCTATCAAAATATATAGCGTCTGAGGTCTTAAAAGCTTGAAGTTAAACAAGTGGCCATCCAGCAGAGAAGCAACAAGCTCACATGGAAGAAGTACACCAGCCGGTGCAATCATGAGGTGTCATCAGGACGGGGTAGCAGTCATCAGAAGACCCATAACCAACCAACCAACCAACAAACACAAACAACATATTGATGAGAACGAGGGGGTACGGAGCAAAGACCCAAAACCCATCTGTAGACACTAGGACATCCCATCACAGTAGGGTTACAAGGAAGGGATGAGTGTCAACCAGGGCGTAGTATAGCACTGATGAAACACACAATATTCCTCTGGTTCTTTGAGGCTTCCTCAACCCCTATTATCATGACTCCAGACCTGCCTGTCAGTTCTGGCTAGACTTGAGCAGGTACACTGGCACAGATAAGAGCTCACAACACATGGAATCCAGGTCAGACAAACAGAAATGAGAGTAGAGATACCAGGAGGGTAGGTGAAAGGTGGCAGGTGGAGAGGAGGAAGGGGGAACTGATCACAATAATTGATGCATAACCCCCCGCCCCAGGGGGACAAACAACAGAAACATGGGTGAAGGGAGACAGTGGTAGGTTTAAGATATAAAAACAATAATTTATAACTAATTAAGGGGTCATGAGGGTGGGAGGAGGGGGCAAGGAGGAAAAAAAGAGGAGCTGATACCAAAGGCTCAAATTAAAAGTAAATGTTTAGAACATGATGATGGAACAACAGAAAAGTGGGTCAAGGGAGATGTCGGACAAGGGAGACGTCGGACAGTGTAAGATATGACAAAATAATAATAACTTATAAATCATCAAGGGCTCATGGGGGTGAGTCGGAGGGAGGGGATAAAATGAGGAGCTGATACCAAGGGCTCAAGTAGAAAGCAAATGTTTTGCAAATGATGAGGGAAACAAATGTACAAACGTGCTAGACACAATGGATGTATGTGTAGATTGTGATGAGTTGTATAAGCCCCCAATAAAATGATTTTTTTTTAATGGAAAAAAAATGGTGCTGGCAACATATGTACAAATATGCTTGATACAACTGATGTATGGAATGTTAGAAGAGCTGTAAGAGCCCCCAATAAAAGGATTTTTTTTTCAATTTAAATACATAGCTTTGAAAAAATAATTCCAGTCTTTTTGGTACCCCCTCATATTTCATCTCTTGTTATCATTCTTGATGCCACTTGTTTAAAATACCCATCGAAAAGCACTGCTCTTGTCTGCACCTGATCTGTATAAAAATGTTGGCACCCTTCGAGAGGAAAACTTGCTCGACTTTAATTTTTTAGTCAGAATTGTGTAAGCTGAACCAGTTGAGATGTATATGGTGCTGGTTACTGTTTCTGCTGTTAATCATCAGTCCTCTTCATTAGAGCACCAATGAAATTAATTTTTTCCTCAAAAATTGATGTGGATTGTCTGCTACTATAGGCTTCCTCTTCAACATTATTTCATACCTTCTAAAAACGAGTTTTCCACTTATAAAGTGCTGACTTTTGAGGGCATTGTCCCCATAAACTTTTCATAAAGCAGAATGATGTTATCATTCTTCCACCTAAACCCCACCATAAATTTGATGTTTTCTTGCTTCAATTTTAGCAGAATTCATGCTGTTCTGAAAGGAGCTCTTTTCACACTGATGTGTTATCATTCTTAGGTGCAACAAACTGGATCTTGTCCAGACATGTTCTAACAGTTTTGCATGAATTTATTTCGGTACAACATTTTTTGGAAGCCCAAGAATAGTTTTCATATTATCCATTTAAAAAATTATTTTGAATATGCTCATAAAAACCAAATCCTAGTATTAGGCTATTCCTGAAGCAGTTTTAACTTGAGCCAATTCAAGGTATATTTTCTGTCCCAGGCAACTAAAAGAATCCTAACACATTCAACTGAGAGGCTGAGTAAAGTTTTGGAAAGATAAAACAGCTTTCTATCTTAAGGAAGCTTCAAAAAGTTTGTGGGAAAATTCCATTATCTTTCGATTCTATTCTCTCTGAACTTTTTGAGGCTTCTTCATATGTTTCAAATCTTCTATCATTCATTTTCCACCTGAAAATCAG